CTAAAAAAAAATAAAATAAAATAAAAATAAAAATAAAATGTCTTCATTTGTTGGTTTAAAAGCAAGACAATTAAAATATTAGAGCAAAGTGGCATACAAATTAAGAAAGAAGCTGATCAATGCTAAAGCATTCTATGGTCCACAGTTACTGATTAACTTTATATTTATCTAAATATAATTAACTTAATATTTAAATATTAAAATAGATACTATAACTGCTAAATTAGTAGAGAGAGAAAAATGGAATGAGAAGGGGCAAAAAGACTCTACCAACTCAAAAAGTAGTAGGAAAAAAGAGGAAAAACACTTTGAAAAAAAAAGCATAATGAATAGGAAGCATGAAATAAGATGGTACAATCAAATTCAAAAGTATCAGTGAGCATAATAAATATAAATAGATATAACTATCTAGTTAAAAGTCAATGATTGTCAGTCTGGATTTTTTTTTTTTAACAGCAACACAAATTCAAGCAACATACAAGGGTACTTCAATAAGTTTGTGGGAAAATAGAATTAAAAGGTAATACAGGGCCGGCCCGGTGGCGCACTGCTACAGTGCGCCGCTTGGGAGCGCGGCGGCGCTCCCGCCGAGGGTTCGGATCCCACATACAGACCGGCCGCACATTGGCTGAGCGAGGTGCAGGCGCAACACCAAAGGTTGCGATCCCGTTGCCAGTCCCGGTCCGGTACGGGCACGACACTGAGGGTTGCAATCCGTTGCCAGTCACGAAAAAAGACAAAAAGGAAAAAAAAAAAAGGTAATACAAATCTTTCCATGAACTTTTTGTAGTGCCCTCATATTATTCTGAGTCACACTTCTAAAACATATGGACACAGAATGAATGAAAGAAAAAGGATAGAAAAAGATATTATGAAAATACTAACCAAAATTGAACATGTTCTGTGGATATTCAAGTACTGACTCAAAGAACGCCATTCTTTTTTTTTTTTTTTTGTCCTTTTTGAGATCGGCCGCACTGCGCTCAGCCAGTGAGCGCTGCTGTGAGCGGCCGGTCATCCCTATATAGGATCCGAACCCGTGGCGGGAGCGCTGCCGCGCTCCCAGTGCCACACCCTCCCGAGTGCGCCACGGGCTCGGCCCAAGAACGCCATTCTGACAACCACAAGATGGGTCTAATGAGAATTAATAAAATATCCTGCAGTTTCCAACCTTACTGGGGCAGCAGAAGAAACATCAGTCTAATGTCCACACCATGTGTGAGGTTTTTCCAAAGTTAGTGTTGCTTTGAGAACAGACAAGGAGTCTACCTCTCTGCAAAAAAAGGAATCCTGACTAACTCCTTCCTGCCAGCCCTAGCAAGACACACTAACTTTTGCTGAATTACCTATCTATACTTTAAGACTCTTTGCCATCCCAGCACCAGAATTCTGGTTCCTGAACTCTGACACACATCTGCAATTATAGCATCAACAAGGCTAAAACGAGAGCAAGCAGTCAAGAAATGCGAACACCTGTGTATTAACCACATGCTTTCCTGGCAGTGGTTTACTGCTCTTCTGACACGCAGAGAAGGGCTGGTGGTTGCATGCATGGCATCCACAGAGATGTGCTTGGTTACACAGCAAACCACTGTCACTCCACTTTTTCTCTCCTGCTAAAAAGGTCAGAATGCAAATGAGGATGATGTCATAGTGATCATCTCAAGGCCCCTGTAGTCTATGAAAACTAAAATTTTTTGCAAATTTTGGTACAACCTTATTAGTAACCTTTCACTTGTGACACACCTCCCAACTGTGACATCATCACAAGTTTCAACTGCACTTGACCTACTATTAATCCCTTACTTTGCCTAATTATGGTATTCTCCCACACCCTCAAAAGCACCCACCCTAAATCTCCTGAGTCAGAAATCCACAGGCTCTAGGCCAGTAGCTTTTGACCTTGTTTGCACATCAGATTCAGTCTAGGTCCTACCCACAGAAATTCTGATTTAATTGTTCTGGGGAAGGTCCCTGGCATCAAAATTTTTTAAAAGTTCTCCAGGGCCGCAAACTCAGCTATCTGACTCCCCACTTTGGCTTGCTGTCATCTCAGAGTATGAGTTTCTCCTCCTTGCTAGGATCAAATGAGATGGTATTTGTGAAAGTGTTGCAAACTCTGTACTTACTATACTACCATGCAAGGTTCCTCGTCACCATTATCATCTCCTCCTCGGTTCCGTACTGTAACTAAGAGAAATAAAGCTGTGCTCTATCCACGGCATGTGAATTATTAGATTCACAGGGGTCCTGGGTCTATACTGGATCTCACAGAAGTAAAGCTAACATTCTAAAATGTCTCTTTATTGAGCTAGCCCTTCCAAGGGGGCAGACACAGGACCACATCTTGCAAATAACAGGAAGAGCCAAACCAAATGGTCCCTTGGTCGTTTCCAACTCCTTGCCTCTGGTAAGAGGTTTATGCAGTGTATCGCAAAGACTTTTGTTAAAAACATATGTGGGCCTACATACATACTCACGTTTGAGTACGTTCTCATCCCACACTTACACGTATATTTTTCAAAACCTATTTCTATAACTGGAAAAGTCTAGAAGGACACACAGCAAAAATGCTTGCCCCAGTAGTGATTTTTACTATATTTTCTTTTTTGATTCTCTGTATATGCTAAAATTTCTAGCGTGAACATGTATTGCTTTTATAATTAAAATAAACAGATAAATAATTGTCCCCACCCAAAAAGGGAGGAAAGGATAAAAGATCTGGATTGCAGGCTAGCTCCGTCCCAGATCTGCTGTGACCTTGGGGGTGTGGCTTTTCCTCTCTGGTTAGACTGGATGCTCCCTCAGGGACCTCCCTCCTGCAACATTCAAGGAACCTAAGTACTCTCTGTTTATTAATTAGACTCCCAGGGACCCCACCCCCTGCACTATGGACACATCATCTACCATTCCAGTTTCTCAGGCTAAATCTCAAGATCCTGATTAGCTCTTTACCCCTGTTCGAACTATAATAAAAGTGAGACCCCAACCGAGGCCTGACCCTAGTAACCACACGGAAGTTATGCTTCAAAGGCTGGCTCAGCTGAGACCCACCCAGCTCGAGCTCACCTTTCTCTCAGGCTGGGCAAGAAAAACCCAACAGGCCTTGCTGCGGGAATTAGAGGTAGGAGGAATTCACACTCCTCATCACGCTGGGTTGGATTAACTGCCCAGGGTCAATGCAACAGCAAGATCTATAAGCAAATCCTGATAGGACACAGGGCAGCTGTATCACCATGGAGACAGGATACCATAAGCCCCATGGGTCATCCACAGTGTTTCAAAGAGATATTCACAACCTCAGACAATAAAGGAAGTTGGATCCGGAAAAGAAAAACTTCACAAGCAATTCCTGGATGACTCTCGAAAGCAACCTCCTGAGTATATTCTTGACAAATCGAAAAGTGGAAAAACTACCAAGAATCAAGTAGACAGTGTACTCCCAGTTGTGAATGTTTTGTTAATTCCTAGGTTATATTCTTTCTACTCACTTTTATGAGTTTATTTTGGAAATTAAGGAAACTGAGGCTCAGAGAGGCTAAATAGCTGGCCTGAAATCACAGAGTTGATGAGGAAAAGACCCAACTTTTATCTCATGGGGGCTGGGTTTGAACCCTTGGTCTGATCTGAAAAGCTTCCCGTAGACCTTGCCTCAGTGAGCACCCCTGGAGTTTCAAGGAACTAAACATACACTAGACTGTTCAGCTGCAGTAGGGGAACGACTACCAATCCCAGCAAAGTTTTATTCAAAGAGATTAACCATGAAAAATGCCTCAGGCAGAAGCATGAGGCTAGGCTTGGGAAGATCCCCCAAAATAGGAAGGACAATGAAGTTCAAGTTCATCCAAACTTTATCAACTGCAGCAGAGGTAGGGCCTCTTTATCCTGGCATTCATGGTCTCTCTAGCCAACGTTCCACAGAACAGGACCTTAAAATCCTGAGATCTGCATGATGCCAAGGGGGCCAGGAGAGTCACAGTTACCCCAGGCCAGTTCCCCTACTTTCCAGCAGTGGGGCTTTGGGTTTATTTCCACACTGTAAAGCAGGAATGACACAGAGTGGTGAGGGTGGCGGGTGCCTGGCACACACAGCGGGCTGTCCCCACCTGCTTCAATGGGGACACCCTCTCTGAGCTTTTCCGTTAAGTCTATAAAGAGGGGACTCAAGCAGGGACCTGGAAGATACCTGCCAGCTCCAAGGAAAGGAGAGAGAAGGCCAGGAGGCCCAGGGACAGAGGTGGCAGCAGCCACCTGGCCTTCCTCCTACTGCCACCCTGTTACCTTGCTCCACATCTAGGCCCACAGGAGCTCCAACAGGAACTAGTCCTCTGACCACAATGGCTGAGTCCTGCACCACCCAGGGGTGAGCTGGGCTGGACCACAGCCAGAAGGAGCCCTGCCCACCAGCCGCTCCTTCCTGCCTCCCTCCACCCAGTGCTCGGGAATCCAACTCCCAGGGAGAGGGGAAGGAAGCTTTCTGCCTCTGACTCGGCTGTCCAGCCACCTACCTCACCTGCCAGGCGCCCCTGCCATTCTGTTCATTCGCTGGGCCCTGGCACACACAGATGAATGAACAGAGTCTCTGCCCGAGGGGTCCTGAGCTTCACCAAGGCAGAGCCACGTGGGCTCAGCGCAGCTGTTTTGTGGGTGTTGTGGGGGCCAGAAGGACACCCAAAGGGCGTCTCACCCGAGAGCTGTCTGCTTAGCCCCGACCCCCAACCTTTTCAGAGCAGAAAAACAACTTCTTAAGAGGGAGAGAGCTAAGAGACCACCTAACAACGGTCTCATCAATTTCTCAGATTTTTTCTATTTTCTTCTTCTTTTTTTTTTTTTTAACTTTCTTGCCTCCCTTTCCCCTACTATGAACGCTTACACACTGCCTTCTCCCGTGAGAGCCTCAATGAGACGCGCGATCCCCCAGCATCTAGAGACCCCGGTTTCACTCGCCACTGCTCAGGTGGAGACGCGGGCAGCGCTCCGCCCCGCACCTGTGGACTCACAGCGGGTTCCAGCGCTCGGGCAGGCGGCGGTGCAGCGAGATGCGGTCGCTGAGGTAGATGTTGATCTGGTGCAGCCGCACGCTCTCCTCCTGCAGCCGCAGCTCCTCGCCCTGAAGCTGCAGCCGCACCGCCTCGCCCTCAGCGCCCAGCGCGTCGGCGGCCACCGGCGGCCGCGCCAGGACCGGCTC